GACTGTCTTAGAAAATCCTGAATAAGGCGTTACCAAAATCGGAAAAATAAAAAATTGCCTCCTTAAAAAACGAACAGAATTCAAATATTTCTTTTAACAAATATGTTGCAGTGGGAAAAATGGGATTGGAAACGATGAACAAAACTTCTGTGCCTCACGTTTCGATTCTGGGATTACGCGATTATTCATTATTGTGCGTTCGCTTCCTGGAGTTGCTTCTCAATACTACATAAAAATCATCGAGGATAAATAATTTAATATCCCACTTTGTACTCTTCAAGGTAAACCATAGGCTCTGAAATACTCGTAGATTTTTTATTGAAAATACATCGAAGAGAGGCCATGATGTTTTGATAAAAGGTCACCTTCCTAGGACGGCCCGCTGTTTAATAATTCATGAGATGACGTAATGTTTACTGGGCATTGACACGCGTTTTTACTGACCCCACCAAAACACTGGTATGAATGACATGTTTCTGATTTATATATTCAAGAGCAGTTGTTCTGGTCCAACGATTTTACATAAAATGTCTATGTCTATACGTTAACTTTTAATTACAATAGTCTAGAAAGTATGACAAAGCAGTAATTCCCGGTTTAACGCGCAAATATGCAAATTAGCCTTTTTCTAGTCTTCTATTTTTGGTGAATTCTTGGGTTTTAAATTAAAATAGCTGATAGACGCTTTGGCCATTTGCCTCATAGTGTGTGGCGCGGATCGCGTGGACGGGTTTCATGTTCTCTGCACGTAATAAGCTCGGTTATTAAGCATCCTTTTTTGGGGATGCCCGGTGGCCGAGGGGAAGACGTGTAGTGGCGTGAAGCTAGGCGATTAGGTGCCGTACGCGAGCGCCGGTTCGAGTCACACACGTACATGTAGTACGTATTTACTATAATTAGACATAGTCTTTACCTTGCCGTTTATTCGGTGTTATTTGCTTTCCAATTTAATTGTATATCACCCTTCTAAGGAGACTTATAGTTATCTACAATTGATTAGGAGGGGGCTTGTGTGATGGTTAGAGTTAGAGATGCAAAAGGAACTCTTTTCAAATCATCAACCTATCAACTGGGATAGTAATTTGATCAGACTAGTGGAAGCCAGTCCACCCATAAATTGGGCTGGTATTTGTGAAAAGTAGTAGTATTTTAGCCAGCCAACTCCATCAACCTATCATAAAAGATTGGAATTCAGTAAGAGTGGTGGAAGTGTAGCATAGTATCACCTTTGGGGTTATTTTATACAAGTACTGATATGACACAATCTTTTTGTATTTGCTGGCGTTAACGTCGTTTTCTTATTTTATTTTACTTATGTATCATGGAGGCACAAAATATAATGATATATTAAATCGAATTTGAGAATAGAATGATGAAACAAATCCTTGTCCCTACATCAAAAACTGATAGTAATGCTTATTCATACTGTACAGGAATCTGAATGTTGGAGCAGAACAAGATATTATTATAAATTAACAAGATGTGTTTTATGATAGTTTTTTTATTATCCCCCGGCGTGTGTACAAGTGGGTAAAAAAAACAAGGTACAAAGAAAAACGTCCCTTTTTGTGGGATATGGTTTAAATTGGTGTTTTTTTCAAATTTAACTGTTTTTTGGAAAAAGGGGTTCTTCTAGCTGGTATCATTTCAGGAAAAAAGTAGTCGTTTGGTGAGGTCATTCGCCGTACTTCCGCATGGACCACGCCGAATAATGACGTATGTACCGGCAAAATGATCGAACAAAAACCTGACCATGATTCGACAGATTCAGTTAACGTTCTTGTGATATTTAAACATGAATGTTTATATTGTATTTATATTATGCAGTGAAACAAATTCTTATATAAACAGACTCGCGTAAGAAAAAAATAACAGGGTACAAACCTTCTTAATTTCGCCATCGGATGCGTTTTTCGAAACCCGGAGCACTTTATAAAGATCAACGTCCGCCATATTGGTTCTGATATTCTCGATTCGTCGTGACCTAATGTCATTGCGTGACGTCACATGCAAGAAAATTGACGATACTTCATTTCTGCGAACAGTTCGTAATTCAATTCAAAGAAAATAATGTAAAACACAATATCTTGTATAGTAATGTATCTTCCTTTCGAATTCATTAATTTTGTAAATAAAATTACTATTATCCTCATGGTTACCAGTATGTAATACCCACAGGCCTCTAGTAACCCCCCAACTCATCGGTTATTTTCAAAGTCAACTGTTTGTCGTTTCGCGGCGATCTTTGCAATTTCAAGGGTATGGGGTAAGGTTTTGGATCTCAATCCATCAGGCGGGACTCGCTCGTAGTTTTTTTTACTGAAAACGATCTCACCTGTATTTGCATAGAAATATATGTGTGCTCGCAAATTTAAACTTAAAATTACACAAATTCTAAAAAATAACTTCAATATATAATTTATTGATAAAATTCAGCTTTCAATATATTTTCAACTTTGAATGTCGCAAGGCTGTACTGAAGAATGGACGGTTTTTAGAGAATATTTTTTGTGTAATAAAAATACCTGTATTATGTTTTCGTGTATCAGATATCCGGTAATTTCCAAAATATTGCAAAAACGTAAATAATTAGATTACTTTTGCTTTAGCTTTAGCAAAAGTCGATGAAATTACAAAAATATATTGTAGCACGCGATAATAAAATAAAAGTATATAAATAAATATAATTAATACAACGAATTATACGACTGGACCTGTAATTAAAACACAGAATTCAGTTCAATGGTGAGATTTCGACTTGCTAAGAAGCTGTAATGTAATACTACTATTTTAACCTAATAAGCTGTAATGTATTACTAGTATTTTAACCGACAAACTGCGCCGTATGACGTTCTTCGCTGTATGATTGCCGTGAACATTCAGTCAATTGTTATGCAAATTTGACATACTTATGAATAGAGTATGGTTCCCTAGGACCATTACGAGTGTAGGCTAGTAAACATTACCATATTTATTGAGTGTCGTACTACTGACATACTGTGGACTTAGGCGCTTGACTGGTGAGTGGTAAGTAAATTCTTGTTTTCCACCTCGATTGTTCTTCACACTCAATCATAGTATCTACACCAAATTCATATATTACATTATCGTCGTGACAGTGACAATTGTGTTGCCCGTTTCGCTAGAATATCGTACGTGTTGTCGTCATGTCATGCATGACAACTGCGTTCCGAAGATCACATATATGGTATTATTTTATACCTTGACAGCCGGTATCATCGTAGACGGCATACCGTATTCGGTCATTTTGCGTTTCCGTGCACTGCTTTAGTTGGTTCTGTTTTATTGTGTTACGTGTGTACACGGTCGATATGCGTAGCTACGCGACGCACAGCATTTGTAGATAGTAGAATATCCGCCATTATTAGATTCACCGATGTCCGTTTTCATGGGCTACACGGCGCAAATGTTTTATTTGGCAGCGGCGTAAATAGTTATGTCTGCTTTCATCGGCTTAGCGGTGCAAACGTTTTATTTGGCAAGGGTGTAAGCGTCCATTTGTTTAGTGGGACACGTCAAGAATGCAGAAACGCCATAATTATGGGGTGTAGCAAGTAAAACTTTTCTCACCGTGACAGAAGCACCTTATTATATACTGCGCTAGTTGATGCCATTTTAGCAAATCAATAGTATAATAGCTTAATTTTACCAATATAACTAAATAGTCACGTGATTTATCCGAATGAGAATCAATAAATACACACACGTAACATTGTTATTTGTTATCGTTCCATGTGTTATCACACTGCGTTAGATTATTTATAGTTTATCACTAAATAGTACGTGCTTAGTAAAGGAGGCTTCCCTCGTTCACGCCCTAGTGGCCTAGCCTTTGAGTATACACCATCCTTTGAAAAGGGTGACATGAAACCATCATACGTAATGAGAATTGGTGGCCGATTGGACAATCACATTGAATAAATCGATAGAAAGGGTTTATTGTTGTGTTTATGAACAAATAAACTTTTACCTTCGCGCGAGAGCTGGTGATAACAACGCCATGTAAACACGTTCTATAAGTCGTGATAACGGTAACAGGCTGAAGCACACGGAATGCCATTCGAATACATTCCAATGTAAATGACTGGAAACTCTCATCGACTCGACGACACCAAGCGATATTATACTGTGCTATAATACATAATACGTTGGATGACATTCAATAAAGTGATGTCAACATTAGATCAATACGGTTAATTTCTATACAGATGGCTAAGACTATATATATATATTCTTGTATGTATAATATATGTAACAATGTATTGCCATTTAATTATCCTAACAACGCGTCTTAATACACTTACTGCATGGAAACGACCCGTTATATCGAGTATCACTCACTGACAGCCAGTGCTATGGTGACGGAAACTTCTTTATTTCTTCAAGATTGTTTTTTTTTCACATTCCACGTATAACTGTTATACTTTCATTGCAGGTGCTGTGGCAACGTTGTAACCATGTCGATGGCGTCCGAATTTGAATCGGTGCGACCATACAGTCGATACGGCTATGAACCACCAGTGAAGTCTTCTCATATACAAAAGGTAAACGTAACGAATTGAAAGTTATACACGATGATTCCTCTGCGAATTAAAATTCCATATACTAGTAACACAACAAGAAGCCAATTTTATATTGGGTGGTCATATACTTTACACAACATTTCGTCAATTTATTTCGACGAGTCGTCTAATAATAAATAAATTGGTTGATAAGTGTAGACGTGACATATGACCTTGCCTTTCTTTTTTTCTCAGTACTGACTTTATTAATAAATATGCAAATAACTGATAGCTGCATTTATTTATTTTAAATTACAATTGTCTTTGGTTGTATTTTCACAGACTGTGGTTTACCACACTGCTGGACTCGGTCTTTACGGCGTTGAACACCCCGTAGGAATTACAGTAAGTTCTAACATCAATGCTCGTCAAAACCTATCATCTATATCTATATCTATATCTATATATATATAGCGTCATTAAAACAAACAAGAAAGAAGTCTCTACTGTGCAGTGTCAGTCTACGTCGAATGGCACAATGAAAGTGTATCCGAATTTTAACAATTATATATATTGTTATAAATTACACGTGGTTTGTAATGATTACGAGACAGTCATTAGAGTTATACACATCTACTTAAATTAGTACGCAGGTAACTTTAATTATCCAATATTGAGCTGTCGGCCTCTAAGAAGATGAATTTCAATTATCTGTAAATGCAGCCTTTCAATCATTTCTGCATTTTACGAAACTTCTTCCCAAAATTGAACCGAGATAGTTGCTGAGGCGACACGAATCAACTTGGGACCATCTACATTGAGATACAATACATAAATATATCCAACTGTTTTTTTTATATTCCCTCAAATAGTAACGTATCGTTCTCAACACACAGGTTCGTGACCTTTCATCTGGTAATATTGTACAATTGATATCGAGAACCAGTGGCAAATGTGTGCGAGTCAACGCTAGAACATTATCCATCGATGGTGGCGGAACTAATGGACTCCAATGTAAGTGTCATTCGACCCAGAACATTACATTGTTTAGTTGATATTCTAAGAACACACAGTACACACGTTTTACAAATATATAAATTTCATGGTTGAGAAGTCCACTGTACACAACGTCGACTTAAAACCGTCGGTGTGGCGATGACGGTTCTCACCACTTTTGTGCATGTACTTTTCACAACCACCAGCGTGGCATTCTTCGTTCACCGGATAGCTTCTATGTATAGTAGGGCTAGTGTTCACTATACGGTGAGATGGAGTTTCGTTTCAACAAACATACAGTTCAACCCCGTTTTCTGTCTTTCTACTTGGCAACAACCCAGAGCTGAAATATTTTCACAACAACAGCGTGCTTAAATCGAAGAGCTGGGCCGACATAAGAGCATTGCAAGCTTGTGCATATATGGTTGGATAGGGACGCTTTCCTAATATATCCCGCTTTTTGAGTGACCACTTGGAATCTTTATGTTCTTATTAAACATTTCCAACAATGTAGACTTAAATATGATTATTATTCCTTACTATAGCCATGTTTGTTGTGACTAATATAAACAACGATGACATTGTGACTTTGAGATGTCTCTCCAATCCAGCCAAGTTCTTAGTTCTCAAAGACGGTGAACTGAAAGCTGACGTAAGTATGCAAAACAAGTCACGTGGTTTAATTGTAACAAATGTTCATGTGATTTGGTCACCTGTGTTTTGATAGTGAATGATAGAAAACATAGTTCTCGACTGACCTGTAAAAATGATGTATACTAAACTCGTATACTTTATTGTGCATGAATTCCTAATCCCCAATGTTTCAAAATAGCCCACTAAAAGTTACACATCCTGGTACGTTTGTTTGTAGGAGACAGCTTCACAAATATGCACAATTGGGGCATTTTAATGTGTCATTTTGTTTCTAACACAAACATTTCACTCATGCAGCTAAAATGAATAACCAACTCTAGGAAATTATGCTGAAATACCAATAAAATAAATTCATTTTTGATTCAATGTTATCCTAATGAAAGTCATGAAAGTGTCTATATTTACATGTAATACTTAGACTCGATATTTACATGTACGTGTCTTATGAGTTAACCATTAGGAACTCTCGGGAAGAAAATGGCGGAAAAACTGTGCAACTGTAACAGTAAACATTTAATTGTCTCGGTGGATATTTGATTTTCTAATATACATCACTACAGAGCATCGAAGGTTTCCTCACATGTTCTACCAAGAATCTTTTGAATTTATAAGGATTTAACTGCAAACGTCTTACAAATGTTTTTTTACCGTGTTAGGGTAAAGGAGGCCCGGAGTGTCGGTTTCGTTACAGTCTCGTTGACGGTCAGTATATGAACTTTGAATCCGTCTACAATCCCAATAGATTTATCAGTGTCTATGAGAAGGGAGACGTCCGCACACCGGCACCAGGAAAGAAAAAGAGAAAAGGACAAAATGCGCATTTTAGAGTTAGACTGATGGTAAGTATTTGGAGACGTGTGTTTTCTTGACTGTGTTCATTGACCTTATGGCCATATGGTTGAACCCTACGGTACACTTTGATATCGTTTCTTGATCTGGGGTTTTAATTTACTATAACTTCATAACCAAAGCAAAATGTAGTGCGCACCTTGCGACAGTCTTAAAACTACCAGCCCAATAGAGGGCGTCACACTATTATCTCACAAATCTTTCATTTTATTACCCCAGACCATTCGTCCCGGTGTTATCGCTATCGCCACACGAGACTCCAGCTTGTCTCCTATACAATTTGACTGCGCACATCCAGAAAGTAGATGTAGCTGTGATTGGTGGAATACTAATGAGTTGAGTGTCAATCAAACGCCCACGCAATCTTTAGTAAACAAAGTCACGTGACACGCGCCATTTTAGTTTTGATTAGTTCATCGGATC